CAACTGTTTTGATGAACTACGCCATGAGAAGACAACAAAGTATCAACTCTTTTATTAACAAATTCAGTACCACTATCAATCCTAAGGATCTTAAGTGAAGTCTGAAGTTGATTTTCAATATAGGCTTTGAATACAAGCAATTTATCATACACCTCACTCTTGTAATTCAAAGGATAAACACAAGTGAATCTACTATAATCATCCACAAACAAAACATAGAAATGAAATGGTGCATTAGCCACTGTGAAAGGGCCCTATACATCACTATGAACCAAAGAAAATGAACAATTAACAGAAGTATTAGACAATTTGAAAGAAAGCCTATGAACTTTAGAGACATTATAATCAAGACAAGACAAGTCCTTATTCAATGAAATTTTATGTGGTAAAAGAGCTGCCATATGATGAAGCTTTAAAGAAGATGGATGGCCTAATCTGTGATGCCAAAGCAGATCAGACGCAAGGGTAGTAGTGCTAGACTGAAAAACTTGACGAGAAAATTGCTCAAATTTAGAGTGTGTAGAAGATGGAATGAACTGATAGAGACCATTGACATTAACACCTCTATGCAGAACCTTGTTCGTGCATTTGTCTTGAATGACAAAAGTATTAGCATAAAAAATAACAAGACAATTATGATCTTTGGTAAGTTGATGCACAGATAGGAGATTTGAAGAGATGGTAGGAACATGAAGAAGATTTGAGAGATGAAAAGAATAATGTGGAGTGGGAAAGAGACTTGTACCTATGTGACTAATTGGTAAAAAGGAACCATTACCAACTTGAACCTGTTCCTGACCTTGATAAGGCTGAAATTGTTAAAGATTAGTCAAGTCATTTGTTAGATGGTTGGTGGCAGCAGAGTTAACATACCTAAGAGGTATGGAAGGATCAAAGGAAGGCTGTGGTATTGAAGTAGCATAGGCCTTTGACTAAGATAAAAAGGACTGTGAGGAATTACTGTGAGAAGAAGGTTGAAAATTAGGATCCAATCGATGCCAACATTCAAGAGCAGTATGACTCAGACCTCCACAAATCTGACATCCAGAGTTAGAATAATAATTTCCTCTAGATCTATTATTATTGAATCTGTTATTGGATCTGCCTCCATGAAAATTATTATATCTGCCTCGTCTGTAACCTCGATACTAACCTCTGCCTCTTGCAAAATGAAAACCGCGATTAGAAGAATTGGAAGATTCATAACTAGACTGGGAGGAACATGAAGATCCTTTTGAAGCAGAGTAGGCAACATGAAGATCAGTTCCAGTGGAATATTTAAGTTTTTGTTCAATATGAATGGCCTCTGAACATAACAAGGAACGCAAATTTTCCATCGTGATAGTCTCAGAACGGGAACGAATGGACATTTTAAAAGCATCGTACTCCTCTGGTAGACCATTCAAGGTTAGAAACACTAGATCCTCATCGTCAACTTTGGCAGAGGCTAAAGCCAGTTGATCTGAAAGCTCTTTGATTTGAGACAAATAAACCTCCATTGAAGATGATTTCTTGTAGAGTGTTTAGAGTTTGGTTTTAAGTTGATGAATATGAGAACGTGATACTGAAGTAAATTGCTTTTCTAAAAACTGCCATACTTGATCACAGTGATTCAGATGGAGAACAGAAGAATAAATGGGTGAAGATATAGTTGCAATCAGACAAATGAGTAAATGTGCATCAATCAGTTGCCATTTTGCATAACCTGGATTTGGAATAGCTTGTCCAGATTCATCAATGAGTTCTGGAGATGGACAAGGATTTGATCCATTTACATAATCCAGAAATCTAGTTGCTCTAAGCACATTTGTCATATGTGTCTTCCATATGAGAAAATTGTTGGATTCAAGCTTCACTGTGATGAGAGAATTGAAATTTGAAATTAGTAAACTGAGATTTGGTGGTAGAGAAGAATCTACCATTGAAAGGTCGTGGATCTTGCTCACAAGAGCTCAAAGCTCTGATACCATATTGAGAATCTTATAATACTTCATCTTATTCAAAACTGGAGAGTACACAAGTATAAATATACACTTGAACAAAATATCTAATCTAATCTATATGAAATATCTAATTCTATCAGCACATCTCATGATTAGTTTAACTAACTATATAACAAACTAACTATATAACAAATTATAACAACTTGATATTCTAACCACCACAACTGATGCCATTGTAGCACTCCAGCTTAAGACTACTATTATAGGCCTGTGATGAACAATCCATAACAGACAGAGGCAGAGGCTGCAGCTCAACTGGTGAGATAACTCCTTCAATACAAATAAGTCTAAATAATAAACAACACAAATTATCAAATTTGACATTATTTTGTAACATTGGACCAGTTTAGTTAACTCTCCAAAAGGAGAGAAGTCATTTCCCAACTTTTAATATGTGTAATTGTTGATTCAAAGCTACTACACACCACTTATTTTTTTCACCATTTTATGTCAAGATGCAAGAGAAGATATTATTTACTTCTAGTATTTCCTTAATGATTTTTTCTAACAAATTGCCAATCGTAAATATCCACATAAAAAGTGATACAATCCCTTCACCAAAAACAAAAAAAAAAACCATTGAAATGTAGCATATCTCTTGTTAATTTCATCTTAGTGTTTTCCTTAGTCAGCTCACTACGTACTATGTTCAATGTAGTGCTTTGCTTTTGCTTTATTAGTCAAGCTCACTATGTCAATTTAATCAATCTAATCTATGCCCACCTCGAGAATTAATGAAATTTTCCTATATATTGCCCTGCTTGGAATCCATTGTTTCATCATTCATACATGCATTTTTCTTGAAACAAGAACAGTGGTGGTAAGTATTGTAAACCCTAGTTTTAATGCCGCTTTGCTTTGTTTTCTTTCTTAGTTGTTTTGGAAAGCACTTTTGTTTTCCATTAACTACAATTCTTCTTTTAGGGTAAGTGACATCGCTCGAACCATGAAGACTTTCTACTAGTCTTGGTAGCTTTTATGTTGATCGTGGGAACTTTGCAAGCCAATGCGAAGAAGCTTACTTTGGAGGATCGTCAGCTGCTGGTAAGTGAGGTAAATCTTGGTCGAATGGTTAACATTGGTGCAAACGATAAGGGTATAAATGAAAGAGGTGTTAAAAAGAGTTTCTAAAGTAAAGCTAAGACTGACGCGACGATGACAATGGTGATGATGATGATGGAAAGTTTGTATCTGGAAATGGATCATCTACTGATGATCATGATCACTCCTTCATAGGTGACAAGCTAGTGGGCAAGCCCCATTATTGGAAATTGTGTAACAAGGCGTTCTTCTAATAAGGTTGTGATAATACGAATCTGTAATGATCCAAAGTGTGTGAATTTGGGCAAGAGACCCCTAGTCCCTCCCCCCCCCCAAAAAAAAAAAAATTTGTTCACTAGTTTTATGTATTTACAATCATACGATTTGATTTTCAATTTAAAAACAATCAGATCCGATAAATGAAGGAGCAGAGGAACCGACATTTTTTAAGAATAAAGGATCCCAGCTGGTAACTATGAATTTGAGTTTCATAAAGCTTGAAATTTTTTGCCCAAAAAAAAGGTAATAATTTCATGCCTCGTGTTTGTTTTGTGATAAATCTAAGGACCTGTTTGATAGTATTTATGTTTTCTTCATTTTTTTTTTTAGTTTTTTCTGTGCTTTTGGAAGTTTTCCGTGCCTAGAATAATGAAAAGTAGAAAACTCACATCTTTTTCATAAATCTAAGGATCTGTGTGTAGTTTTATTTCCGAGTGTTTTTCTGTTATTGATCTTGGTTTGGTTGAGGTACCATAATTTTTTTTATTTGAGTAGTAGTAGACATTCCTTAAAGTGTTTGGCTTGGGTTCACTTGGAAGCTTTCTATGATATATGATTTTCCATCTCTCTACATATCTATATTAGATGAAGGAAGAAAAAACTAAAAAAAATCAAGAACTTAAATCAGAAACTTGAGCAGTTATATAAGGACATTGGGCACAAGAAAATTTCTAAATTCTTCATCCTTAACATTACTAAATCACGAATGTCGATTTCCCATGCAAGAAACCATAGATGGGTTGGACAAATGATAAGAGATTTTTCCAATTTTTTTAACTAACCCCTAGGAAGCACGGATACGGATACAGATACGGATATGATACGATACGGATACGGCGATACGACAAAATTTAAAAAACTAGGATACGGGTACGGCGGGAATAAGTTCGTAAAAAATATTATTTTAACAATTTTTAGTAATGCAGTATGCATAAAAATAAAACCTAAAGCAAAAGACAACTTGATAAAGAAGAAAGATTCTTATAAAACTAAGAGTCTTCAAAGTCAATTGTTTCAACTTGTTCCCTTTCATCAGTGAATATCACAAGACCTTAGCTAAAGTCAAGAAACCATTCTTAAATAAAAATTTCAACAAATATACTTTTTTAAGTCATCAATGATAGCCTAGGAAGCATGGATACGAATATGGTGATATGGGATGTGGATATGGCGATATGTCAAAATTTGAAAAAGTATGATACGGGTACAGCGGGGATACATTTGTAAAAAAAAAAAATTATAATTTTAATAATGTAATATGCATAAAAATAAAATTTAAAATAAATTAATAAATAAAGAGAGGGATTCCTATTAACCTCAAAGTACTCAAACATTCATAAAACATCCAAAACTAAAAGCAAAAGCAAATGTAAATTAACTATCATCTCCTTACATGCCAACACCAAAAAAAGAATGAGAGCAGATAGAAGAAACGTGAGAGAGTGAGAAAGCGAGAGAGAAGTGAGAGAGACAACAAGGATACATCAATTTGACAAATTCTATTACTTTAGCTCTCACTATATTCCTCTTATTAAAGAACTAAACAAAATATTATAAGTAATATGTAACTTCGAGTATCCGATATTTCAAAATTAAGTATCCGATACTTCAAAATTAATAAAAAACTAATTAAGAAGTATCCGATACGTATCCGCGAGTATCCGAGGAGTATCGATATCCGATAAGTATCCGATACGGATACGTCACGTTTTTTGAAGTATCCGTGCTTCATAGACTAACCCATAGCAGATTGCATTAACTGTTTCACAGATGGTATGTATGGAAACATAATAGTTTTAAGTAATAAAGACAAACTGTAAATGAGAACATGGCGAAAAAGACTAGACGAAAAAAGAGTTTTAAGCTCAACCTAAAAATGGAAAATGGAAAATGGAAAAAGTAATAAACAAAAAGGTCTTCCTTGATTTTTCTTCCTCGATTTTAGGCCTGCTTAGCGGCAACGGATCTTGCCCTCAGATTTAAAAAGACAGCCCTGAATACAGCAAGTAGAGAATAAATTAGTAATAACCAATCCATGCCCTACTAAACTAAAATAGGATATACTTAGAAAGGCAAGCCTGACAAGTTACTTAGAAACTAAGATTTGTTGTCCAATGGTAACACAAAGGTGAAAAGGGGCAGTGGCGGCCGTGGATTTTGGGGACGAAGACAAGAAATTTTGATTCCTTTGTATGGTTTTGTGTATGTATGTATGTGTGAATGTTTATATAATGGTTTTATGTTCAAGAATGAGAATGAGTGATACAGTGATACTTGTTTTGGACAATGGTGAGCTTGAGGAAGAGAGAAGAATTTTTTATTTCTTTTATATTGGCTTTGGTAGATATATGTATGTGTGTGCAGAGAGAGAATGTTTTTAGTTTGAAAAGCAAGAGAGGGTTGTGGTATACAATGGTCCGTGGTGGGTTGTGAGTGTGGTCATCACCATCCATTGACAAAGAAAATAATGAGAAAGAAAAGGGGAAACTATGTGAGGGCACAAGCGTCTTTCCATGTTCTAAAATGCTGTCAAATTTGGTGGGAACAAGGCCCACCTAGTCATTTCAGTTTATTTCCATCATGTGTTGTGCGGGTTGTTAAGTTGGATAGAAATCTTTATGGGCAGCAGTTTGATAGCCACTACATTAGTGTTTAATATCACAAAACAAACTATACGACTCCATGTTTCTAGATCAAAACAAGGGTAAAGTGTATTATCCTCCCTATGCAGTCAGTAATATGAGTTTTCCTCTCCAGTTCATTCCAAACTAATTTGAATGCATTTTTACTTCCTCACAAAATGGTGTACATTAACCTAATACACTACTGTATTAAGTACTCAGAAACGATAGTTACTAATTAATAAAACATAATGATTTCCTAGAATTAAAACATCTGATCTCTAGTCATCCTTGCACAAAAAAGAAGGGATTCAGCATGAATGCTATCCTAAAAAAAGTGAAGGGGAGGATAGAACAGAGAAAAATGAGGGAAATAAGAGGTGCACACCAGCATGAGGCAACAAAGCTGTGGAAGAGTACGCGGAACTGTAAAGGCATATACTGGTAATTGATCCATCCAACTACAGGCCAAAACTGCAAATCAATAGCACCATGACTTTGTTAATGCCAAACTCAACAATAGAAAAAACCAGTGTGTATTAAAATTATAAAAGATGGACCATGTCGTAATACCTTCCAGGCAGTCAATTGTACTGAGGGGTAGTCTTTTCCAACTTTACTCTTGACAGAACCCCAGGGTCTTCCTGCAAAGCCGGACCATGTTCAAACTTTATCTTATAAAGTCTTCCACACCAACACAGCAATCAACTACAAAAAAAAGAACCCCAAAAAAAAGATCTTATTTGTTTTCCGAAGATAATGAAGTACTTACACTTCCTACAGTGTTATGGGAGGTAACATTTCCCATGAAACAGAGTTAATCATGTGTTCATTAATCCTCTTATTGGCTACGATTCTACGATAGAAGACGACAGCAAAGTTCTATCACGGAAGGCAAAAATTGACCTCCAAAAGTATTGTGTTATCTAGTCTTCATCTCTTATACTCTTGAATCTTCATTAACTTTACAATCAAGTACGAGTTGATTTTCAAGCAAAATCCTAGTACCTAGGTACATCTAAAAATCTCACATCCTTCGTCAAATTCAGGGCAATCATGTGCTTTCAATTGCAATAATAGTCATTGTTTCTTCGAATTCAAAATCAGGGTTTATGGATCAGTTAATATAGTTTTCCAAAAAGCAAAGAGGGAAAAATGAGAAGCAAAAAAGCCTCAGGCAACTAGCCTGTCTAGAAAGGCTCTCATTCTCCAACATCACAAAATGAGAAGTGGCAACTCCTATATCTCTACCAAAAAAAAGTTCAGTCCCTAAACCCTAAATAAACCATGCTTTAAATGAAAAATAAAAAGACATTACTCTTACCAAAATAATACCTAATAATAAATAAATAAGGAATTAACTTCAGAATTACACTTTTTTCCTGTTAGTAAGCAAGCATGTATAAAAAGATTGGAAGAATATGTACAAATACAAGAAGCATACCCCAAGCCAACAACATGCAACAAAAGCAATCACTTAAATCAATTACATACCTTCAACTACCAAGCCATAGTACATCATGAAAAGTATGTTGTTCCAAGGAGAAGAAGTCAATTGTTCCAACAAAACCTAACAAAGAAAAATAAGAAGTATATATTATACTAATCAATTTTTATTGGGATATCAGAGACAACTATAGTTGAGCAGAGGAATACAAGTATGCTAAAAATAAAAATAAAAACCTAAATTGCATGTATCTCCACATCTACAGCATTGTTTGACTGTGGTATATAGAGCCGAATACAAGGAGTGGACCGGATAGTGTATCCCTGAGGTCCATGTGATTTTTTTGTGTTCCCTAGTCCCACATTTGGTTACTCCAAATATGGAAAAGTTTGGATATATAATCCAACAAAAGAGTAATACCAATCCCTCCACGGGTCATTTTTTATCTACCGGTCAAAAAATAATTACTCTATCCTTATCCCATGCTATATCCCATCTAACTAAACATGGTAAAGCGATCCTACCATATATATAATCCATCTCACTTTCTAAGCTTATTATTTCTCATCTTGTATCCTTAGATATAACTTCCTCATTCTCTTATGTCCAAACCGAAAATCAAACAAACCATACGTCCAAATATATATGCATAAGACGATAAATAGGCATGGAATCCTCTATCCCCAAAATCCCCGTCTCTTGTTCCCAATGCATACAGAGTCATATGATTGTGCCTCGAGATTTCTATATTTCGAGATTCTCATATATACATAAGTATTGAAGCAGTCAATCAAATCATAGAAACGGTTTACCTTCTTTGCAACAGTTTTATTGCCCTTCTTTCCTCTGAAGATCATATCCATCAATCTGTGAAAGAAGTGCCCAAATGGACCTGAATATAAAAGGCCATAGAGCTGCAAAGCATTTCCCAAATTCCAAGTTCAATAATGAGCACATAACCCAAAACCCATCAAATCAAGAAAACAACAAGAAATTTACAAATGAAAAACATAGTCAAACAATACCATTAAAAGAAGCACTCTTCTAAATTGAAGCTTTTTGACTCCAGTAATCTTCTGAGCAATTATATCACTGCTTCCAATCAAAACCCCAGAAGTAATTGCCTACCCAATTCAAAAAACCACCAAATAAGTACATTCAGAAAAGAATCAGAGCAAAGTGAACAGATCAATTATGTAAAAACAGACCTTGGTTCTGAGAGGATAGACTTGGAGTTGTAAAAGATACTTGTTCCAACCTTCTTTAATGATCTCAGACATGGTTGGATCAGGGGTCTCTCTCTGCGCTCTTCTCTATCAAGAACTGAAAATACTGCAATGTGTGTTTGTGTGTGTGTGTGTGTGAGAGAGAGAGAGAGAGAGAGTTGGGAGTATATAATGAAGAGTAGGAGAGAGTTGGGAGTATATAATGAAGAGTAGTAGGTAGGTGGAGAGAGAGAGGCCATTGACGGAGACCAAACCAAATGCTTCAACTTTCTCTTCCTGATCTGTCAACAACGACTTCCCAAACTCGAGTCTTCGAACAAACATATAAGGGTAAATTACACTGACCTCTTGAGGTTTGATAAAATTACAGAGGCCTCCCCTAAAATTTCTAAAATAACACAAACAACCCCCTCTTGAATTTCAGATAAACTCCTCCTGACCGAACGTTAATAATAAGACTAACTGAATTTGCTTAGGTGGTAAAAATTATTCTGGATAAATTAAAAATCATTCCTAAAATTTATTTAAAATACAAAATTATTATTTCATAAAATTAACAAAAATAAATTTAAAAAAAATCCTAACCAACTTCTTATATATAACAATATAATTACAAAAATTGTTTATTAACTTTATATTTTATTATTTGTTATATGAATATAAATTTGAAAAAATGAAATATACTTAGCATTTTTTTAAAAATAAATTTCAAGAAATATATTTTTAATTTATCGTGAAAATATTACACCGTTTAGTTTGCCCTTAATAACTAATTCTTTCTTCTCCAATGTTATAAACCATAGTCCATGAAATTTCAAGAATAGTTTCACTTTTTATCTCTTAAAATAATTTAGATAATTTAAATCATAAAATCAAAAATTTATTAGATTAGTTAAAGCATCTCCATTGTTATATTTTTTTTTTACCAAATTTGAGTAAAAACTCTATTTGATATTACGTGTTTCAACGGAAAATTTTGAAGTTTTATCAAAACACCGGTCGATCGAGTAGATGTCCAACATGTTGACCGGCCAATATAATTTTTTTACAAATTTTTGCAAGGAGGTAGTCCTCTAGTGATGAAAATGATTTAAAGCTCCAACAACTATAAATAGTAATTTATTAAAAATTACATCCATCTTTAATTTGATGAAAAATTTAAGAAATCTTAAATTTAATACTTATCTAGTGATAGGATTGAAATAACAAAATGTACTTATTTTCACCAAATTTAAATTTGATGAAAAATGGTGTTGGGTTAGAAATGATCTTATAAAATGTATTTTTTAAAAATAATAATTATGATTTAAATTGTTTAAATTATAAAATAATATATTTTCTTCATTAAACTGGGTTTTCATGGTTGTTGTTATTGATTTTGCATAATCGCTTTCAATTTGACCACATGAATACAAATATAAAATATATATATAATATAATATATTATATATTTTGATGGATTATAGGAGATAAAAATAAGACAACCCAACTCAAAAATGTCAAGTTTAATTTTTTTATCAGGGACTACTAATTTTTTAGATTCACATTTGCAAGCTTTTTATTTTAGATTTACCTGATTTACGTGAAAGAATATTGAAATTAATTAGGTTGAGCCAGACCCTCCATCATTTAAAAAAAAAAAACAAACTAAGAATAAAATAAAAGAAATTGTGATAATTGAAGAGATACTAATGAAATTAACCTAATTTCAGTAGGTTTGGTGGATGAAGAAGTGAAAAAGACATAGGCAACCGGTCGTACAGGTTTTGCAGCCCACCACGATGCCCATCATCAGAATCCACCCCCCAAAACCCTTTCTCCGCTGCAAATCGTTTAATCGATGCAGAGTGAGGTTTCTCTCTCTCATTCTCGCCAAGCTATTCAATGCATTCCTCTTCATATCACTGGTAATTTTTCCCACTATTCAAAGCAAATGCACTGTTTCCATATGTATATCTATGTGTGTGTATATATATTTAATATACGGAAAATTCTAATATATACACCTTGAAAATGGATTCTTTGCTCCTATTGTTATTTAGTTATGATATTATTTTAATTTTTAATTATAACATTATTTTATTCATAACTGATCAAATCGTTAGTTGTGTCTCATGTTGTTATTATTATTATTATCAGATCTTTATTATTTTAGTCATGTTACGTTTAGTTATGATTATTTTTTTTATTTTTTTTTTGAAGTCATAACTCAAAAAGTATAAAATTATGTTTTTTTTTTATTATTATTTTAAATATTTTATTATAGGCGTATATTACAGACTGAGGAGTGTCTACCATATATATAGTGTTAGTTTACAAAGTTTAAATTATGATAGTGTTAGTAAAATTTTTGTTAGACTTAGATCGAAACCAAAATCTCACCAAACAATAAAATGATTAAGCAATTGTGATGGGGTTTTATGCCTCGAAAGTTCAAGAACTTCCTTAGAGTAAAGCTAATGACAAAACAAACAAGAAAAAGGAGAGAAAGAAGAAGATGATGATGATGTAAATGATTGAATAAACAATTAAATACAAGTAAAGGACATTAATGCTTTGGTTGAGGGATTTAGAGAGGGATTTGGAAAGGGAAATGGAAAAAGTAAGTGAAATGTGAATAAAACATGCCTATATTTTTCCTAGTTTCACACGCCTTTTCCCTTTCCCTTTCCCTTTCCATTTTCAAATCCCTCCTCAAATCCCCTAACTAAACACAGCATAAGACTACTCCTATGTAGATTAGATTTACTCCTAGGATAGAAAAGAAATGAAAGTCAAGTCATGTATTGATTTGTTAATCCTTTTTATAATAGAGCCATCAATGGCAATTTATACAAAAAAAAAATGTAAGAAAAAACTTTTATTAACCATCATCTAACCACCCGTATAATTTCCACCTTCTTACATTGTCACTTGTCCTCCATCCCTTGAATCTCCAAAGCTTAACTTCTCTTAACTTTTAAGATTTTCCTGCATAATCATAATAACAATAACAATAATAATAATAAATGATAGAAAGTTTAAACCTTGTTATAATCGATAGAAATTTTATTTATGGTGCAAATAGATAGTGGAGTTGAAGATATATAAAAATATCAAATTCTTATCTCTATGCATTAGTTGTGAGGACATTACTAGGAGCATTCAAGACAATGTCCTACCAGGTTATTTTAATTGATGACGACCTAATTTTAATTGATGAACTAGAATGAGTGAATTCTGTGTTACAATGGTAGTGAAATACTTTAGAAGCTACAAATTGTAGTATAGTAGTACTTTAGGATAAATATATATGGAGTGCAATTTTATCATAACTAAAAGAAGGAACAAAAAATATAGGGAAACTTGATGAAAGGAGATGACTTAAGGTAGTGTTTGGTTCGATGGATTATTCGATTGAATAATCCTAAATGTAGTGACACCAATATATAGTGATAGGAAATCCTAAATGAGCAAGGACATAAGAACCACTCGGATTTTGTTTCAGACATGCATAGGTGTGTGTACTAGACACACGTGTTCAAATGGTTGTCACTGCGTTCAAACAGTTGCTTTTGGTCTAGACAACACAGCTCAAAATAGTAAGCCCACAATTGGGTGAATCATACCCATATTTTAACGGATCAACGCCGAGTTCAAACGGGCATGGATTGGAAAATTTTCCAAATATGAAAGACCATGCTCGTTCAAAGGAATTACTGCACAAGGTATTATTCCAAACCTAAATTTAAATTCAAAACAGACCAATGCATTAAGTCTATAAACCAAATCTATTGGGTTCTAAGGTCAAACTCATTAGTTATTCTATATCTATAGTCAATAACAAAATATGAACAAGCCCAATTAGACTAACCTAGATAAAACTCTAGAGCAGCCCAACTTCAAGGCACTTAAAGCAAAATCTCAATGAAGGCCTTCCTTATATTTAGCCAACATTTAAATTTTTTAATATTAGTACTTTTTAATATAAAATTATTTTTCTTTTTTTATTCTTGGAGCTAATATTTGGATGTCATTTACAGTCTTTACATTTTGGGGGTTTTATCAAGCTTTACAATTGAGGGCCTTTGAAAAAGGAAGATTTTTTCCCCCTAGTCCTTTGGACAAGGAATTTTATTTATTTTTTGATGGGCGTCTGAACAAGTAACTTAGAAATCGGAGGCCTTTTGAAAAAATGGGGCCTTAGTGACTGCCTCAATCGCCTTGAGGTTGGGTCAGCCTTGTAAAACTCTCTAAACGATGCTAATGCAATACATCAATTTTACCTTCACATGAAGTAGATCTTGTTTGTCTGATCAAAGATTGCAGTTGAAACCTTCCATGATAATTCTTGACTACCAAACATGCATAAGGCTCAATTAAGCTAAAAATAAAACTGAAAACTCACTATTTGGAATGAAATTGCCAACACGAAAATGACTTGGGGGTTACAGAACATTTTTCTTCACAGAAAAGACATAAAACTAAACCATTTACATGGAATATTTTTGTTTAACAACTCATTTCGTCAATTATGCACTTATATTTTCTTTGGTTTGATTTTTTTTTTTGTCCTTTGATAAATTGGGGGTAACCTTCTAATAGGCCCAATTTGGAAGAGCAACTGTAAATATATATGTATATATAAAGCATAACTAAACAAAAAATTGCATCCTTCCAATTTTAATATCTTTTTCTTCAAACAAATCTTAAAAGCTATTGAAATCCTAAGTGACTATAATATAATTGGAGGGCTTTTTTATGTTATGTTTCTATTTATTTATTCTTATTCTTGTACACTTGATCACTTGCATGGGCTGCCAGTATTGTGGGTCACAGACTCCTAGTCCTTTCTACTAGATATTTTCCTTTTACAAGTTTGTTTCAAACATCATTAAAGAGTGAGTTTCTCCAAATGAAACTTATGGCAGCTAGAAAAAAAATGGAATTTTGGATGTAATGTTTCCTTTGTATGCATTTTGTGCTTATCAGTTTTTTTGTATTGAATTTTTTGAATGGGCCTTTAGTATGTTTGTATTCATTTTCATCTTGTGTAGTAGATTGCGATGATTAAGTTTTTGTTACCTGTTGTTGCTGATTCCTCGAATTATCAAGTTTTTTTTTTTATTGTTCGAACTTTACCAGAGAAACTGACATGCCAAGTGGCAAATATTCGGACCATTCTTCATGCTACTGGTTTTAGCTAAAATGTTTACTCCAAAAATAGTTTCTTTTTAACAGCATTCAATTGTCTCTAGTTGTTGCCATTGCTGCTTCTTTAAAAGTGAGGGCAAAGAACCTTAATTC